TGGAAATGGAATTTGGGATTGAGCTTCTATTGATCATATAGATCTAACGATGGTTGAATGTGGCTTTTCTCTATGATCCACTAAAATAAGGAGATATTATATCAACAGATACTGTTTGATGCTCAAATCAATACTTGCAAAAGATGATATGTCACAACGAGTGTGAACTTGTGGAGTGTAATCCCTGAGGATGAAGATCCATGTATATTTATAACAAGTGACGGCCTTTGAGAGTTCATAAGGAGGTTACAGTTTTGTTCCCTAGAGAATGGGCCAAATAAATAGTGAATCTAGGCCACATAATAAATAGTGTATAAGCCCCATAACTAGGTGTTTCATTTGTTATAGATTGTCGAATTTATAAGATATGTTGACCCCAAACAATGAGGTCCATGGTGGACTCAGGGTACTTGCTAGATTGCATGTGCAATTTGCATATCACACAATTGGGTGGGTTCGAGATCTAGAAGTTTTCTTCAAGGTTTGAAGCTGGGAGACTCAATACCTCAGAATGTTAGCTTGAACATGTAACATAGAACATTAATAATGTGCCTAAATGGGTTAGGAATTCAGAGTGCCTTGATGAGTAAGGACTTCATAATGACTAAACAAACACTTTGTCAATGTGCCTAAACAAATTAAAAAATAATGTTTAAAACTTGATCCATTTATTTATAAGGACAAAATTATTTTATACTGGTGTAAATTTTATTCTCCATTTTGGTTATTGATTTTATTTTTATCCAACGACTATAATTTCTTAATATTTTTTAATTATGTGAGTCACTTGATACAAGTGGATTAATGACCAAAAATAGGTGTAAAACTTTTTATTCTTAGTGTAAGAATAATGTGTCCCTTATTTAAATGAGTCAAATTTATTTAAAAATATGAAATTCAAGTTGAACTTGTTGAACTCATTTATAACTTAATTATTTTGTTTTCTGTTGTATTTATTATTTTTTTAAAGTTTATTGATTTAATATTTAATAAAAATATATTTAATTTAGAAGATAAAGTAAAATTTTAAAAGTAAGATTGCAATATATTTATAAGTTGGAAACTTCAAGTGATTTACACATTAATGAGCAGGACAACATCAATATCATAAATCTAATTAATCAGACATTAAGAAAAAGCACTAGTGTTCCCAGCATATTGAATCTAGTCTCCAAAACAAATAGAGAAACTGATCCAGATAAAATATAGGCCCAATCAAAGTCCCATAAGGAAAACCCAAATCCTTCCGAAGCACAAGGAACAAGCATTGACGCGATGCCCACATCGCGGCGTTCCAGACACGATATCCCCATCGCGACATACAGGACGCGATGATCTCATCGCGGCACACAAGACTCGATTCTTGTATCGCGCATGAAACCTTCTAAGAGAGGTAAACGTAAGGCTCAAGATTGTTGGGTTAAATTTTAATGAGATAAAAATAGAAAATAGAAAATAGAAATGTGAAGAGTTTTCCGGTGAAGAGTCATGTCCTTAGGTTTGTGTTAGTGGACATTAATGAGTCAGTTATGTCAGTTAGAATATTAATGAGTCAGTTATGTCAGTTATAAAGTAATTGGGTGTTATGTGTGGAGTTATGTTGGTCAGTTTTATAGCTTATAAATAGCCTTTGATAGTTTGTATGAAATGTAGATCAAGAGAAAAAGAGAAAGAGCAAGAAAGCAAGAATAGAAAAGAAAAGTTTTTTTAGTAGATACACAAGTATGGTTGTCTCTTGCATCTGTGTGGATATTCAATTCTAACAAATTGGTATCAGAGCTTGGGCTATGGAGGAAAAGAACGAGATAGAAGTGCCACTCTTTTATGGAGATAAAGATGAAGCATTGGTCTTCTTACTCTGTCTAAAAGAATATTTTCGGAGAAAAAAAACCTTTGAAGAGGACAAATGGCATGAAGCTTTGAGAAGACTCAGAGGAAGCGCAATCAAATGGTTCCGTACATGGAACTGCTGCGACTTTAATAATATGTGGAAGGATTTTCTAATGGCCTTCATAACAAAATACTTGCCTGGACGTTTTGAACTGATTAATGAAGAAGATGAAATCTTCAATGATGATGATGAAGATGAGGAGAATCTTGCAGATGAAGAAGAGACCGAGATGGCGGAATCCGAGGTTACCAACTGCAACGCATCCGCGGAGGAGATTGACGTGTCGGAGCGCGTAAGAGACGACTCGGAGAAGAAGACGATGGAGATGACTGCGGCAGAAGGAGCCGAGATAGAAGAGGAGGAGAACAAGGGAGCCGAGATAGAAGAGGAGAACAAGGGAGCCGAGATAGAAGATGAGGACAACGAAGGAGCCGAGATCGAAGCGGAGAAGGATGGGAACGACGAGTCCATTGTCGAGGTAGAAGACTTCGCGGAACCTGAGTGTTTGGAGACAGAGTCGAAAATCGGAAAGGAGATTGAGAAGCCGAGGTGCTTGATGGAGACCGGCATGGAGGAGACCGCGAATCCGAGTTCCGTGTTGATAACCAGGATGGGGGAGATCCTGGCTAAATCACCGAGTTCATGTTTTGGAGAAGAGCTCGACCCCGGCGTGATGAGGTTGATGTCGGAGACCGACATAGACGCAGTTCGGGTTGGAAGTCAGAAGTCGGAGACTGCATTGAATTTATGGTGGAAGTGGAAGATGTTGACACCACGGAAAAGAGACCATTTCCCTGGAGGACGGTTGTCTGAGATTCCATTGATGAGGCGCGTGGAAGCTGGACTCGATGAAGAAGAACCCGACGATGAAGAAACTGAGAGCGGAAAAATGGAAAGTGTGATTGTGGATAGGGAACCCGGCGATGAGGAGCCTAAAGTTACTTTTATGGTGGAATCATTTTGGCTCAAGCGTAAACCAGAAGAAGATCGTGGGGCGGAATCAGAAAATGATGCGTTGAGTTATTTGCTTGATGATGGGAATCAACGGTCCTCAATGAGTGATGGGGTTACTGTGGTTAAAGAGGCCCAACGTGCTATTAATGTAGCACATGTTGAATCTGAAAGTATTAAAATTGGCATAGGTGTTGTAAAACTAATGGGACGTTATAGTGATACAGATACTGATAAGTATGATGACTTGTGTGAAGATCATACGTGTAAGAATGGATGTGGAAGTATATTGGAGGATGAGGTCGACAGAGGAAAATTCAAGACTGTCTATCTTCCACCAATGAAGGAACCGCCGGACAAAAAAAAAAAATTGAAGAAAGGAGTGCAACATGGAAGCAGCGCAGCAGCGCGAAAAAAATCAACCGGTGGAAAATTAAAAAAAAAAAAAGAATTAAAATTTAAGGGGGAGTTTTGTTGGGTTAAATTTTAATGAGATAAAAATAGAAAATAGAAAATAGAAATGTGAAGAGTTTTCCGGTGAAGAGTCATGTCCTTAGGTTTGTGTTAGTGGACATTAATGAGTCAGTTATGTCAGTTATAAAATAATGGGGTGTTAAGTGTGGAGTTATGTTGGTCAGTTTTATAGCTTATAAATAGCCTTTGATAGTTTGTATGAAATGTAGATCAAGAGAAAAAGAGAAAGAGCAAGAAAGCAAGAATAGAAAAGAAAAGTTTTTTAGTAGATACACAAGTATGGTTGTCTCTTGCATCTGTGTGGATATTCAATTCTAACAAAGATAACTCCACCGCGTCTTAGCTCTAGTAAACAAAGAACAACTCCAGCTTGCCTCTAATCTACTACTAGACCCTTTGGAAGATAAGGCTATATAGGTCCCTTAAATAACTTGCAGCCCAAGGCTGGTCACTCAGAAGCCAAGCCGCCTTAACTAAGGCGGCATCCCAGTTACTATATAAACACACGATATACCACCAAGGTACGATCATCCTTTACTTTAACAAGATAACACACCTGCCTCTGATACTAACTTAAGCATCGGAGTGTCTTCGCAGGTACCCCATTTGGTGCAACGTGCCAACGTGAAGGACAAAAGCTCAAGATCAGTCCGACAGCAATACTTGGCCCAAGCCAACAACGACGTAAGGTGATTCAATCGTGTGTGATTGAGCTCTATACCTATACGCAGTCCATACTGGTTCGATCAGAAAGCAAAAAGATGACAATAAAGTACCTTTTCTTTTCTTTTCTGATGCGGGGAAAAAGTATTACATGTTAAGGATAATGAATGGTTATTAATCATGATTCCCAATAAAAATGCTGGAATACACTTTTCCTGATTTCATCCTATGAGCGGTTAAGAGGATCTAAGGATACAAAGGGAATATAATGACCATTTCCGCATAAAATAAAAGGAAAGCGAATCCTTCTAAACTAACTGAAAGTCATCATTATTAATATCATTATTTTGATTCGATTCATTTTGGATTTTATATATTAGTAAGTAGTATGCGTAATATATGTTTTCTTTTTCTGTAAATTTTAATATGTTTTTAAGTTAATTCATGTAAATTATCATAATTATGTATTGATTAACACAAATAAGATACTTAGTTTTATTTATATTAAATTAAATTATCATATTTTTTAAAAATCTCGTTGCTCCACTCTTATAAATTAATTTAGTGTATATTATGTTTATAGTGACTTAAATTTTTAATCAACTTATTAAAGAATAATATATATAATTATTTACTTGTTTTTTATTTTAATTTTAAATTCAAGTTTATTGATTAATTATGCATATATTTTTTATTATTTTTATCTTTCTCTTTAGTTTTCTTAGATTATTCCTGAATTAATATAGTTAAGGGACCTTATGATTTTAATTTTCTTAATTTATTCTTTTAACTCTTACTTGAATTTAAAACATCCATATGGGATATTTGTTAATTTTATTATACAAGGTGGACTAGTTCATGAAAGAAAAGGAGATGCTTTTATCCATAGATATTTTTAAATTAGTTCATGGAGAAGTAGGTTTTGTGGAGTTTTAAGAGCCAAAACGAGTTAAAAAACAAAACAATATTTGCCATTTAAGGGAAATTGAGTACTTCAGGAGTTAAGGTAAGGACGACTTTAGACTGTGCTGGTAAGTATTGTATCATTGGGAGCAAAAGCAGCGTTGTGGACCGTAGTGTGGCACTAGCCACTAGGCAGGTAGAGAAAGTCCAAAATCCAAGACGATGAGAACTTTTTAGTTCTAGGCTTTTTAAATTGCATTGGAAAAGGACCACAATCAACACCCTCTCATGCTTATTGCTTATTTAGTGCTCAACACTAAAAACACAACTTTCTCTCTCTATTACTATATATATCAACCTTACCTTCCCGCTCGGATATAAACACAAACACTTAGCCTACCAATTTAACCAAACTTCCCCAAATCACAACGACACAAAGCCAAATGAAGTACGTGTTGGTCACCGGAGGAGTCGTTAGTGGCCTCGGCAAAGGCGTCACCGCCAGCAGCGTAGGCGTCGTGCTCAAGGCTTGTGGCCTTCGCGTCACTTCCATCAAAATCGGTTAGCCTCAACTACTTCTCTCTCTCTCTCTCTCTCTCTCTCTCTCTTTGCAACTCAAGTAACCTTATGCACCTCTTCTCTAAAATTTTTGCAGATCCCTACTTGAACATAGACGCTGGCACCATGTCTCCTTTTGAGCACGGAGAGGTTTTTGTTCTTGATGACGGTGGAGAGGTTTTGTTTCATTCTTTCTTTTCATATTTATACTTCTGCGTGCTTGACTTTGAATGTCTTATGGTCATGGAGGTGGTGAATTGATTTATACATATTTTTTTTTTTAATTGGCTTTTGACTTGGAAAGGTTGATTTGGATTTGGGAAATTATGAGCGCTTCTTAGATGTCACGCTCACAAAGGATAACAACATCACCACTGGGAAAATATACCAGGTGCGTGCATGCTTGTTTTTTTGTTTTTAATGGAACTAATATTGTACACTTGAAATTGATTCCGTTTGGTTGGTATTGGTGGCTTAACCGTTGTGTTTGTTTGTTTGGTTTGGTTTCTTCTTATCAGTCTGTTCTTGAGAAGGAACGTAAAGGGGATTATCTTGGGAAAACTGTTCAGGTGATGAACCGCGCGTATGCCATTTACCTGTTGCTTGCTAGATACTTGTGTCTCTGTGGATAAAGAGAAGTTTAATGAGTTACTGCCATTTTAAAATAGGTGGTTCCGCACATTACTGATGCTATTAAAGATTGGATTGAATCGGTTGCTGTGATTCCCGTGGATGGAAATGAAGGGCCTGCAGATGTTTGTGTGATTGAGCTGGGAGGCACTGTGGGTAAGATTTTTTGCAAAGAATGATGCCTCTGTTGAAGCTGCTGCATTATCTACTTCAGTCAATTATGTGAGAACATGTTTTTCTTTCTATAGGTGACATTGAATCTATGCCATTTATTGAGGCTCTACGGCAATTGTCCTTTCAAGTGGGTATGGCAATAATATTTTGCTTTTAACATAACATTACTCAATATAGCACTTGACATAGTTATTATCCCATACGCATGCAATTCTTAGCCATGATTATTTTGTCAAACTCAATTATTCTCATTTTTCCTTCTCAGGGCCTGACAACTTCTGTCTTATCCATGTTAGCCTGATACCAGTGTTGGGTGTAGTGGGAGAGCAAGTAATACTTAATTACTTGTGCATTACTGTTGCATACTTTTGGTTTAAGTTGATACTTTTTTTCTCATGTTAAGTGCAATATTCTGCTTCCAGAAAACAAAGCCCACACAACATAGTGTCAGGGAACTGAGAGCATTGGGCTTGACACCTCATCTTTTAGCATCTCGCTCTGCTCAGGTATATCATTCGAACATTTGGTTCCTAGACACATTTAAAAATGTAAGTTTGTGTAACAAACTAACAATGTTTGCTCCAGTCGATAGGTAGTAGTAGTACATAAAAAATCTTGCTTGCTCACTTAATTTTAGCATGCAAATTGTACTATTTGCTTCTTTCTTTTAGCCAAGGCAATTATTGATGTGAACTACTAATTAAAAATTTCAAGTTCCACTTTTGGCAATGCATAAAATTATGATGATTATTTTGCACCTGGCAATCGATTTATCTTTGCTGTATTTTTCATCTTAAATAGAAGTCTATTTGATCTTCAAAGTTGTTGATTCTTTCATTAAGTAGTAAATGTGTGGCTGCATGTCATCAACAAAATTGGTTTTTCCTAATTCTCTAGTGATAATATTCGATAATCCAATTAATGACGATGGTAGCATTTTTGTTGAATATGATTGGCACTTTTATCCTTTCTTGTTCTGGATTTAGACATGCTGGAAAGTGCTTATATTATTTTGTTTTTACCAAATCATTAATCTGTTATTCAGTGGATAAAAAATGTAACGACATTTCCATTTCAGATCAACCTTTAATACAGTCTTTATGAAGGCCTTCACATACACACTAATGCACATGCATACAAAAACAAACCTTTTACTTTGGTTTTCAAAATTGTTGCTTGTGCACTGTTTATAAATTGACCGGAAGGTAAAATAATACTTGGTTTGGGTGATTGTACTAGAACTAGTGCATTGGATCCCATCTGAATTCTGTAGTTTAGTATGCTTTAGTGATGTTAATGCTTGGATGGGTATTGTTAGAGTTCGTGTCTGTGATATTGGCCTGACCATATGCTTACTTTTCACTATCATATTGTATATTTAATATAGATACATGGAGCCTAATGGCTTAAACTAGTGCCTCAAAACTTGTGCACTCTCTCTCTCCTTCCATTCTTTCATTCCACTGGCTACTGTGTCTTTGTTGGAGGAAATATGATTTCTTGGTAACACAAGAAACAGGTTGTGGTTGTCAAGATCAGGTGCTGAAGCTGAGTGCTGTGACACAAGTTACTTATTTGGACTTGGCATTTATTATGTGACATTGGTTTTACTCTTGCTTTCCCAATGAAATTATGGTGTGACAATCATGCAGCTATGCTAAAAAGTACTCTTGCTTCAGTAATTCTATATTTAGGAGAATGCAGTGATTACTTAAATTTTCTTATGTTCATCTTTTCTTCTCACTGAAGTCAATAGGAAATCTTCAGTGTTTTTTTCGAAATTTTCCTTATGTTTTGACAATTGTCTTTGATGTTAGTTTTGCTATATTTGTAGCTGAAATAGTTTGTTATTGATTATGGCAGCCTCTTCTGGAAAGTACCAAGGAAAAACTCTCACAGTTTTGCCATGTTCCAGTAAGTTGTTGGTGAACCTAACTTGGTTGTTCTCTGAGCATGCTTTGTTTTATTAGTTATTGATCTATATTTTCGGTTTTATTTTTCACAGGTTGATAATATTCTGAATATTCATGATGTACCAAACATTTGGCACATTCCCCTCTTACTTAGAGTAGGTCTCTAATAAATTTTTGGTTCCATTGAAGCTTGGCTGCTTTGGTTTATTTTTTGTATATATTTTTTTCCTTTATGATTGGCTGCTATTTTTCAGAGCCAAAACGCTTACCATTCAATTCTGCAGCAGCTTAACTTACTCAGGTAATTTTTTTATTTGTCCTTTTATTTCTGTGACTGCCACACACTTAAGCAGTGTCACATGTAAAATTTATCACGGACACAGCTTGATATAGGATAAAAGCCTAAGTTTAATATCTGTAGCACTCCTGTTATATTAGCTGAGAAAAGAACGGGCAAAAGAGATCTGAGAACATCTTAGAAAGTCCTTTTTCTGGTTAACAACTATGGAAAATAGAAGAAAACATATTATATAATTTGACTGATCATTTCTGGTGCAGTCTTCAAACTCTGTCAGGGATGAACCCTAAAACCATTCCCCATGAAACCCTGGCTTGCGAGGGTAGAGGTGAGAGGATCCTTGTATGCAACCTTACCTTTGCACTTTTACAAAGAGGTTGTATCTTGATTAAAAAAAGAAAAATCATAGCTCATTTTTTTAAAAAATAAATAGATAAATAATTGCCCTTAGAAGTCTAATCTTAGCTGTTGAAGGTAACTTGAAACAAAAGAAACTAAAGAACATAAATAGAATTTAAAATAATGCTGCTACAGCGCCATGCTACAGTAACCTAAACAGTACTTATGCTAGATTTACCTAAACAGTAATGCAACAAATAATTGTAATTTACCCCATTTGTCCTCTATATGTATGTTCCCCTTCACTTGAAAAACACTGCTCTTTTGGGTTTTAGGTTGATCTTAAAATTATCCCCTCCTTATAAGACGATACTTTAGAAATTTGAAGATCTTGAATTTCTTACCTATGTTAGTTATCCAAGTTTTTGAGAAATCAGATTCCATTTTGTTTGCATCTTTTAGTGGTTTGACTTTGAACTAACAATTAAATTTTGAACAAAACCTGAACGCAACAGATCAAACCTATGTGTTCAATATAGGGAAAGATTTTCAGTCTCAAAAAAATTGCTTCACTTTGAAAGCATCCATCACATAGATCTTTTGGAATATTGTTAATTTAGCTCTCTCGGTCTACCATAACCGGTTCTGTCGATCAGGTAGTATCTTGATTAACCAAATGAGGATAATTGTCTTTTGCTATTCTCTTCAACCAGTTACGATAATCAACTTGAATATCTTCATCTTTTCTTCCTCAATAATTCCGGCTTGCCTATCTTCTTGAATGTCATCTGTGTTCGCATCGTGGATTGGTGGAGAATTCCAATTTACAATTTTTATCCTCTAGACCACCTTCCCATTGGCTATGGGATTGGGGTCACCTTTTGGAATCTTCTCATGAGCTCTGACTTGATCTCTATACTGGTTTCTACCTCTGGTGTAAGCTTCTCCGTCATTTGTTGTATCTAAGCTATTTCTTGAGCTTGGGTAATTCCAGGAACTCTTGCACTAAGTGCTGCCATAACGGATATGTAGTGAACCTAGCTCTGGCCTAGTTGATGTTGGACTGAAACCTTGCGATTAAATCTGTAACGCTTGAGATATTGGGAGAGAAAGCTGTTACGAACCAGAAAATAAGAAGAGAGAAAACATATGCAAGTTAGAAAGAAAAAGGAACAATTCTATTATTGATGAATGAGACACAAACAGAGAAAAGGGGAGAATTCTCCTTCCAAGGGTTTCCTTTCACAAAGAGTTGCCTTTTTCACAACAGAGTTGTTGCTCAGTTCTCACATCTAAATTCCTGAATCCATATCTCCTATCGAATTTCTTCTATTTATCCCCCTAACTACCTGATTGCCATCCTAGTTAGCTAACCGTCTTCCTAACTTCCCTAACTACTCTAACAGTTTCTCTTAATTCTCTAATATGCACCTTCCAATATCTTGCCCTAACACTTGTGAGTCTCGTCCCTAACAAAAGCATGAGCAAGAAATTGGAAACAAAATGAAAAGGGTGGTCTTTTGTTTAAACAATCAGGGAAAAGTGAAGAAAATTTCTTTTACTAAAAAACTGATTGATATTTTCTTTTGCAGCCTTCAAAATCAAACCCCCTTATAAGGTCTTGTTGTGCAGTAGTGTGAAGTGTGAACAGCTATTGCACTTTGGTAGCATGAGCAGTGCTGATGCTACTGTAGCTTTAACTGTACTCTAGCATATGATTAAATCATTAAATGACCCTCCTCATGTTCTAGACTATAACTGGAGGGAGACAGGAGATATTCATCATTCTGAGTATACTGGATCATACTTGTGCACTTCATGCTGGATATGTTGCTACTTGTCTTCCATTTTTTTGGAAAAATATAGTGAGAATAGGAAACATTAATCTACTTCACTTTTGAATTATTTTTCAGCATTGCTACGACTCCTGATTTACAGCAATGGACAGAGATGGCTGAGAGTTATGATAATCTCACTGAATCTGTTAGTACTATATGTTCAGTTTGCAATGTTCTTTCTAAATTTATCATAATATTATGACAAGAATTGTGCGTGGGAATGAGAGCATTTTAAAATTTACAGGTGAGGATTGCGATGGTGGGAAAGTATGTTGGTCTAACAGACTCGTATTTATCTGTTGTAAAGGTGTGTTCTATCTTTCATTGAACGTTTATAACAAGACTAGCAGGATGACATCATATTTTAGAGAAAATTTGATTAAAAAATAGTATATTTACTATTAGCTATCAACTTGGTTTTGATAATGAGGAATCTATGAACTACTTGATAATAACATTTAATTTGTTTATATTTTTGCTTTAAGTCTGGTTCTTTCCATATATCTTATCCATGTTCATTAGCAATCATCTGAATTTCACATTCTCACTCATTCTTATAACTGCCATTTCCTATTGTTTTCTCTTTGCATTATTGTTTTATATAATCTAAAGCGATAACAACAGTATAGAGTATCAACCCACTTGGATTGTAGCATGGTGGTTTTTTATTTATTTATAATTTAATAAATGAGTTTTTTTTGGGGTTTTCCATGCCTGATTTGTTCACAGGCCCTTCTGCATGCTTGCGTTGCACGCTCATTGAAGCCTTCAATTGACTGGATTGCAGCTTCTGACCTTGAAGATGACAGTGCAAAATCTGTAACGATTCTTTCAAATTGCAATTGATGAAAATTGTGTCACTGTGCGCCTACTCAGGCTAATTTTATTTTATTTTTTTGGGGTTCTACTTTTCAGACACCTGAAGCATATGCTGTGGCGTGGGAGACTCTGAAAGTAAGTGCACCAGAGGCGCATGCAGTTTATGGAAATGAAGTTATTATATTTGGGAAGTATGGTGGGAAAATGCTGTTGCCTTGGATTTTTAGATTATGTGGTCCTGCTAGATTTAGGCTTTTTTTTAGTTGGGGGATGCAATAATGACATGTTTTCTCTTTGCGTTTGTTATCTATGATGGAACTGTTGGACTTTCTTTAAAATGGATCATACAATTCAGAGAAAGATCTTTTGCTTTTGAATCTGTAGTCACAGACTCAGCCATTTTTGGGTGACACTTGCAGAGTGCAGCTTGTGTCTTGGTTCCTGGGGGATTTGGAGATCGTGGTGTGAGAGGTATGATGCTAGCTGCCAAATATGCCAGAGAGAACAATGTTCCTTACCTGGGAATTTGCTTGGGAATGCAAATTTCTGTGATTGAGTTTGCTAGATCAGTAAGTAATATATCTGATTATGTCATGTTTGGTTCTTTATGACTGCGTGCTTCTATCGTTGTAATTTTACATTCACTCTTAGGTTTTGGGTTGGGAAAGAGCAAACAGTGTAGAGTTTGATGCCCAAACACCGCATCCTGTTGTGATTTTCATGCCAGAGGTATACATGTCTTTCTCCCCTCCCTTTTTATTTTGTGTGTGTGTGTGTGTGTATGTAACGTCTCCTTGTCCCAAACAGGGTTCACGAACGCATATGGGAAGTACCATGAGGCTTGGATCTCGAAGAACTCTCTTACAGACACCTGATTGTATCTCTTCCAAGTTGTATGTGATGTAGCTATCTCACTATTTAGTATTTTGATGATAAATGCAATAATGAGTAAAGAACAAGCCATATATCCCTTTAATGAAATATCTTATCTTTCTTTTCCATAACATTGCTTTTTCTGGCAGTATCAGCATATATTAAATCTCAGACTGCCTGTTTGATAGTGTTATGGTTTTTTTGTTTTTAAAACTGTTTTGTAGAATAGTTATGGAAACAAGTGTTTTCTGTATTTTTTTTTTGTTTTGAAAGTTTTAAAACTCAAAACACAAAACAAAAACAACTTAGACATGTTCTCCAAATTTGATTCTAAAAACTAAAAAACGGTTATAATTTTTAGAACTATTTTTACAAAACAGGCTTTATCAAACATGTTTTTTTGTTTTGAAAATAAAAAAACTGGTTTTGAAAACAAAGTTTAAACAGGCCCTAGTTTCTGACCCTGTCTGATAGTTCTGAAGGACGTGTAAATAATGAGGTTTGGTTGTTGATCAAGTGCTTGATCATCAAGGAATGGTTCGGTGTAAGTGAATTTTAGGACTGATTCAGAATTTTCTTGGTTACATTCTAATTTCAAAGGGCTTGGATTCAATTGTACCATTACTTTAGATGAGGGTTTCAAAGGGGAAGGGGTAGCGCATATTGCATGGCCCATTGGCCAGACAACATGTTGCCCCCTCTCTTCCCTTTCCCAACAAAAAGGGAAAGAAAGACATAGAATAATAGGAATCGCAGTAAATTCCTGAAGGACTATAACTGGTTTTGAATATCCAGCAGCAGGGTTATTTGTAGTTTCCTTTAAGAATATCTATATGGATATGAAATAGTCACCTTTGATAATCTAGTATGTATTGTATTCTTACTTGCATCCACGTCTTTTTTTTTTAATTTATTGATCCTTCTATGTGCTTTATTATGCTGTTCGGTTGGAACCAGACTCCGATATGTAGCTGCTGGACAATTTTATGATTAGATTATGATCTCCACACTCACTTTATGCATTGTAACACTGTTCATGTTCCTAATTGCTAGATACGGGAATTCAGAGTACATTGATGAACGGCATAGACATAGATATGAGGTTTGGCTGTGAACCTCCTTTTTAGTGACTGGACAATCTTTCAAGAGGCACGTGTAGTGCATGTCCTGTAATTTAGCATTGACTTCTGCAGGTAAATCCAGATGTTATTGTAACTTTAGAAGAAGCTGGGCTACAATTTGTTGGGAAGGATGAAAGTGGAAAACGAATGGAGGTAAGTTTTCTGCATGGGTAATGTTTTCATGCGAAGAAATATTAACTAGAATCAAAGTTGAGAATCTGTCAGTTTCAATTTGATATGGTTGCATTTGTTATCCTGCTTTCGTGTTCCCATATTTTACTGTTACACAGAATTCATTTCTTTTATCACTTGTTTTTCTGAATGGAGAGTGCGACTACTTTCTGGATTTTCACAAATTTTCTCTCTTGTGCAGATCTTAGAGCTTCCTAGTCATCCATTCTATGTAGGTGTGCAATTTCATCCAGAATTCAAATCACGGCCAGGGAGACCCTCTGCTTTGTTTTTAGGTACTTGCCACTCACAAATTAGCCTTTCATCTCTGATGAACCACAAAGTGTAAACCGAGAGCCATTTAGACCATCTGTGTTGAGTTAATATTAGTTTATTGTTATATGGGAATGGTCTGTTTGGATCTTTACAGCACGCATGTTACTTGTGGTTGCTTATCTTCCCGACATCACATAATTGCCTACATAAGCTTGAATACCCCTTGCAATTCCCATGTAAATTGATACTTGAAATTTGGGAAGTAAGGAGTGAAAGAAACCTCATGTCAAATTACTATTAATTACCATCTTCAATTAGTTTTTTGATTACTTTTGTTCTCTAAATATTTTATTATGCTGCAATTGTAGGTCTCATATTGGCAGCAACGGGGAAGTTGGAAGCACATATTAGTAGGCATCAGAATGGAAGTTGATGTACGATTCGTTACTATAGGACACACACAATCTCATATCATATTTTTTTGAGGTAAGCTGGTTCTCAAAAGGGAAAATAATTGGGAGAGGGAAGGGAATGGGAACTGAAGGAGATAAGGGAAACCCTGAAGTATAGTATGTGGCCATCTGCCCCATGTTTCTCTAGGTTGGTTCTCATTCATATTAGTTGCGGAGTAATATTACTTGCACCCTCACATTCACTTTTTTTCATCAGAGTCACTTACATTAATAATTTTTTTTTATCAAATTATCTTAATGGTAAGGAGAAGATGCTTAAAGGTTACAAATACTAGTATATCTTTGGCTGTGACTTGATGAAATCAAGCATGGCCGCTACAATAGTAGCTTTGTAGTGCTCGAGAGGTCTTGTCTTTCCTTTGCTGAAATCAGCATGTCTTGGCGACGCTTTTTTAAAAAAATTTGGGGTATGGCCAAATCTTTACCTGTGGGTGCAGCTTGCTCTGGATGTAATACCAGGTCTTCTAATTTCATTCTTGTCATCTTTTTCGACCTTTATTGCAGAACAGAATGTATTGATGATTATTCGAAATGCATAGAGTTCTGAAGCAGAGCTAGCTCTTTTTTGTGCTACACTATGAGCAATTTACTTTCCATTTTAAAGCTGACCATTAACCTTGAAATTTACGGGCTTCTTTATTATTGTTTAAATTTCCTTGTTGAGTTCACCATGCCCCAAATGTGCGTGATGCTGTTCATCATTTTGAAGGTTTATTACTGACAACTTTTTGAAGCGATAAAATCGTGTAAGAATAAAATTATAATTACGGGTTATGATGGTTAATTCGATTATAGTTTTTACTTTTTAGTTTCACTAGGGTGTATATTTTTATCTTAGACTGGACTGTACAGTATGTATAGTTCAGAGGAAATTTAATCAACTTCCTTTACCTATCATAACCGTTATAGTAGCATGCACTGACACGAAACACGACACGATACGTCAACACGTTAATTTTAAAAAATGTCATATTTTGACACGTTAAGACACGTTTTGATATTAAATAATATTTTTAATATATATAATATAATTTATATTCAATACATATAATAGTTCATAATAAGTCTTATAACTAATAAAATATTCAAATTTCATAATATAAATATAAATAAAAATATTTTTTCGTACCTTGTTAATTTTTCATGTCAAATTTTATAACAAAAAATTGATTTATAAATTATTTTTCTATGTTTAGTTAATAAAATAAAATTTAGACTTTAAAAGAAAAAAAATGTGTCAGATGCGTGTCGGAGAATTGATCGCGTGTCGAAAAAAGTTAACTGTGTGTCAAAAAAATGTGTTGGATTGTTGATTGCGTGTCTTAAAATGTTGACCTAAAATGTTGACCGCGTGTCGGTGTCCGACACGCACATTTTCAAATTTTTTGCGTGTGGGTGCCATGGAGGTAGCAGTAGCATATTCTTTATGAGTTTATACTTTTTATGCAATATAAGAAGAGTCTCTTAATGCTACACTTACATTGTTTTGCGTGTTAATGTTTTTAATTTTATTTTGTCTAATGGGCCCACCTGAATATGTGTTACAAAAATTTTCATCAGATGTTGCATAAAAAGTATAAACCTCTTCTTTTAAACAATGGATAGTAAGAAATATGTAAATAATAGAACTAGTGGGTAGCTCCCGGTAATTACAACATCCCGCAGTACATGTATAGATTTCTCACTCTGTATTTGATAATTCATGAAACTAAAAAGTTCTACCATCGACCATAGCATCAAAACTCAAATTAAAAGAGAAGGAAAATTGAGGTTGACATGCAGAAAATAAAAGAAAGTGAATCCGCACTATAAGAAGCATGTTCAACTTCTGTTTCTGTTGGTTGTTTCGTTGTACTGTAGAAGAGAAATTTGACGTTGGAGCTTCATTTGCTGATAGAATTGAGCAATGAACTCCTCGGCTCGCTTATCTATTCCTTGTGCATCTTCATCGGAAGCCATCTCTTGGCATCCTCCTTCATAACCATAATAAACTTCTTCGTCTTGGTCTCCTGCATCCATAAGGGCACTCTTTCTCCCGTTGCCATATTCAACAATATTGTCGTCGTCATCATTAAAATCATAGTCAAAATCAACATGTGGGTTTATACATGGAATGTGAGGCAAGTGGAAGCGCATAGAAGATGGACGGGACATCTTGACATGGAAGATGGGAGTCTCGTCGAATGAGAGCTCGCGCTCAAAGTAGTGAATCTGGCTAGGTGGGGTTGTGTGGCCAAGGCGCTTCAAGTACTTTGGTACTAGACGCAGCTCCATAGCCAGCTTGCGTCTGAACACCCCACCTTTACGTGCCCACAGCAATGAGAGCCGCAGGAGGTTCCATGCTCTATGACCAACGCCGCCACGGTTCTTCAAAGACATGATGTTATCTGTTACTGAATGCCAAATATGCTTGATTTAATGTTGTTGTAACAAATGTGAGGAGGAGTGTTGTACTTGTAGTATGTAAAGCAAGTAATGTGATAAATGCTGATGATGGAAGATGGTGGTTGCTCTTTACATATATAGTATTGGGAATTTTGGACGCGTAGCGTGGTTGGAGAAAGAGACAGATGTTAGTTTTCACTTTTTTTTTCAAGTTTAATTCAACACATCAGATGTGAACTGTGGGCGGTGTCAAGGACAAACTGCCAACTCGTTAGGGACACGGTTGTACTGTACGCGGTTGGAATCAAGCTGGACACACTCCACATAATATAATTTGTTTACTTACTATTCTGCCCTTGTATTAATTATCATTCAATATTCACCAACCTTACACGCCAAAGTAAGTGTCTATTGACTATGAAAGCAATTGATCATTTAATTAGTATTAATACATAATTTGAAATTTAGAATGATTCTCATAATCAAACGGGAGTGGATCATCTCATGTGAAAAAGTAGTCATGTGGTCATGTTATTTGATTATAACCACTCATTTAAAAATTATACATTTTTCTCTTTCTTATCAAAACATGATCACTTTTTCACATGAGAGGATCCACTCCCTAATCAAACGTTATTCAAGAGAGAATCAGTTCTAATATTATTACTAATACTTTTTTTTTATGTAACTATTTGCTGTAAATGAGAAGTTTAGATTCTAATTCTTAACATTAATTACAAATAAAATTCATCTATACGATCAATTTCTATTGAGTTAAATATTACTAACACTTTGATTAGTCCTTCTTGGAGCAAAGGTTTCCAAATCTAAACATATTTTCTATTCTAAGGGAAACAAAAATACTTCTAAGAGAACAATTGATTTGCTATGGTTTGCATCTTTTCGTAACTGGTAAATGATAAGTGATTACCACAAGTTAGAAAAAGAACCATTTTCGGAAAGCCATTAACCCTTTAGTAAAGGTCACTTTGGTCATATGACTTGATATGCAATAATAGGGAGAGCCCACACCACATGAAATGTAGGCTGCTTTTAATTGGATTTTGTTGGAATATACTTGAACGCCGTTCATGCAGAAAATTATAAATATTGATATTTAAGACATAAAGTTTAGGAACTTTGTGCAAGTAAACGTTTGCTTAATGGTCTTTATAAACTATTTTCCCAATCAAAGAGCGGATCCAAAGCTCCAACAACTATTTGTTCGTTGAAACTTTTAAAGGAACTTTCTGTTGCTTTGCGCTTGCGTTCATTTTTACCTAATGCATGTCTCTCCACACTGTGTCTTGCCCCTTTCCACTTTTAAAGTATTGAATGTTTCGAACCTTAACTTCAGTACATATTGAGCACCAGAGCACGTATATGTTGTAAATGAAAGAGAAGCAACACATTTGAAGAATGAAATGAAAGTAAAATAATCATGATTTGTAATATCTATGAAATCACTGAAATATCAAACCTAGAGATATTTCAACATTGTACTAATTCTTTTTTTTCTTGGTGAGCTAAGTTGTACTAATTATTAATGTGACTTGAGTTCCCTTTTCTTGTTTTGTTTATAATCATCCCCTAATTTAAAATTCTTCATCTCAACAAAATTATAATAATAATAATAATAATAATGATAATAATAATAATAATTATTATTATTTTATTTTAGTTTGAGATCTAACAAAGTTCTAGTCTTACATTGATTTCACATTCCTTATGATGAAAGAAATAATTGGCGATCATGCATACAGCAGACGTTGACGTTGAGAAGTCAACGAAAATAAACCACAGAAAACTGGCATGTAAGGGTATGATTGAATGGGTAGTTGGGTACATTGAGCTATAAACTGACTTGAACACCGTGCAGTCCCTCTATATTATTCAGATTCTAGTGAATCAATTTCCGAAGGTTCAGGCAATGATCACAACATTAATCGATAGAGTTAGAGCCCGTTGTTTCACATTTATAAAATCAAATTTAATTTCTAATTTTTGGGTAAAAAATGTTTATCTTTAGTGGTTTGTTAAAATTCTGGAAGCATAAATTATTAGAGTAATGACATATATAAGAAAATCTTAATACATACTTCACAAAATAATTTATAATCACCATTCATTATTCTCATGAAAATCATGCCGGTGCGCTTTATTTCTGTATTTGAATGTCAGTGTAAGTATTATTTTTTTTCTCCATATTATTAATATATGAAGGGTAGTATATTTTTATCGTAGGCATGATGGTTGCAGGTTAGACCGAGGAAGGAATACTCCAATATGTGTAATATATTGTATATAGGTAAGTTAAAGAAATCAATTGAATTAGGGAAACGGGGATTTTTTGTAATGGAAAATCTGCCGCGTGTCCATAAAATTAAACATGATCAGTGTCAAAATGATACATTTTATATATTTTGTTGCGTCATCCGCGGAAGTTTTATAAATCCCTTTTGTTCCTTCCTACAAGACATGCAGACAACTAATAAGAGCCCCACAAAAAAAGCGGGTCAGCAGGGCAAGAAATATGTGTTCATTCTGTTTTAAAAATTGAGAGACCCTGCGCGCTTAATTTACAACTATGTGAAACTTTATGTCATACTCTTAGGTGCAGACCCCAAACTTTCAAACCTTCCAGCTGGCTTTTGTCCTCATGGGATGGAAACAGTGGAACTGCAAATGGGGTGGTTGAATAAAACAAAACACGGTAGAAACACAACTCCTAAGTGAATCAATTACTAGCTGACATGCAACGGATCCAGAAAATTAATGAAAGGTGGATACTCAATAAGTTTAAGTATATATAGATTTGAGTCTAGTCTGAAACGCAACTTGCGAGCAGTTGCCGGCTGGTTGGGTTTGATTGAGATCTAGATCTGGACGGATTGCGACTCAACTAGACCTATGATGGACGAAGAAGTAAATGTTCCAACTTCTAATAACGGAGATTGAGGTTTGAGAGGAGATGAGTCAGTATGTAGATGCAAACGATGGGTCTGAAATAGAGCTCTTTGCTGCTGTTAGGTTTGGATAATGAAGATGAAGGAGAAAAAAAAACTCACGTGAAAATAAGAGAAGGAGAAAAATTAAAGGGGTACGATATCGTAACAACCAACTAGGATTACTAGTTACTACCAATCAATTTCACTGTTAGATCGATTATGTGGATCTAACAGTTATATTTATTTCTATCTTTGTATGGTTATAATTCCCATATTTAATGTAAAAGCATTAAATATGAAAAATCATAACCATACAAAGGTGAAAATAAATATAAAGTATTAAATATGGGAAATCATAACAATACAAAGTTGAAAAAAATATAATCGTTGGATCAACATAATCGATATAACGGTGAAATTAACTGGTAGTAATATTGGCAGTAATCCTAATTGGTTGTTACAATATCCTACCCCAAAATTAAATTGAAAAAACTTGAATTTTAAGAGAAGGGTATTTTTATATTTTTGCATCATATTTTAAGGGTGGGCACTTGCCCCCCTTCTCCTTAACCTAGATCTGCCTCTGGCTACATATATATATTTTTTTTTCAGAAAAGTGTTTGTCCTTTTAAATGACACAACTTATGTCATTTCACTCTTACAAAAAGGTGAGACTCACACCTTTATTTTTTTATCCATTCTCTCTCCTCCATAATCTATCTCTTTCTCTCACTTAAAATGACACAACTTTACATCCTTTAAAATGACACATTTTTTTTTTTTGGTCAGTCCCCCAATCACATTGCTTGCTTTTACCACATTTGCCAAATTGCCGCAATTGATTGTAAATAAATTAAGTACCTCTGGATACTCTTAATTAGGGGTGTAAATGGGCCAGGCTGGCCCAGCCCAGCCTACGGCCCGGCCTACATTAAGCCCAGCCTAGGCCCGGCCTTTCAGAAAAGTAGAGTAGGCTTAGGCTTATAAAAAAGTTTTTTTAATAAATAGGCCATAGGCCAATTTTGTCAAGCCCGGCCTACAGCCTTGTAGGCTGGCCTATTTAATTTATTAAAATAAAATAATAAAATAATATTTATTTTATGTGGCAAAGACACAAAGTACCAAATACCAATATCTCTTACTTTTTGTGCTATTTTATTTTATGAAAGGAAAACTTGTCTAATGTCTCCAAATTTTACATGCTGTTGCAGCTTAATACCATGGAGCAATGGGTACCTTGCTGGATTATGATGTTACTGATGAAGATCTTTCAATAATACTCTTCTTTCCCTTGTCTTGATGGTGGTTTAAAGATTTTTAGATGAATGACATTTTCTTGTAGACTTTATTTCAGCATCCAGTAATTGTATTTTTCTTATTTTTCCCATTTCTTTGACTCTATTTTCTCTATGATATACATTCTAGAGCTGAGGTATTATGTTGACTCTTTCTTGTTTGTCATTTTTTTCTTATGAGAAATACTAGTGCATGCATGAATGGAACTTTCTTTGCTCTATACAATTTTTTTTTTTGCTTAGTATATATAGTGGGAGGCCTACAAGGCCTGTAGGCCATGTCAGGCTTTCTAATTTTTGAAAATGGGCCGGGCTTGACCTACAAATAAAGCCTTAAATAGGCCAGTAGGCCAGATAGGCTAAATTTTTTTCGATGTAGGCTTGGGCCAGGATGGCCAAAGCCCAGCCCATTTACACCCCTACTCTTAATCCTATTTGATTTCACAATTTTACAAATGAGCTGCAAATGTTAGAGACTTTGAGGAGAGCTTAAAATCTCGTTACATTTTAAGAAGAAAATTCAAGTAAACTGTATATATCTAGTTGGATGGATTAATTATAAGCAATAAAGTTTATATAAATTTGTAAAATTAATCTAAGTATGTCACGTTTAAAGAAGAATTTTTAAGTAAACTGTATCTATCTCGTTAGATGGATTATATAATCAGTAAAATTTATATAAAAGTCACACAGACTCTTATTATATAAAACACATTTAGACAATACTTATTTTATGCAAAACTGTTCCCGC